TACTACTATAAAAACACTAATAATTAATGGTTTTATTAATTTATGCACACAGTTAATTTTCAAACACTAACTATTAAATGTATTCTTTTAATTCACAATGTTGCAAGGTTTTAAAATTGTTTCCTATTGCTCTAACTTTTTATGTACAATAAATCAGCAGTGCAAATCTCAGCATTTTATGCAGTTATTAAAATTACCAACAAAATGTTTTATTTTTGCTAAATTGTCATGTACCGGATTCTGCCGTAAATTTGCCCATCCGAAAAATCGCCCTGGGCAGTTTCACGGCTGGTGGGCCCTTATTTGGAGTTCAAATTTTCAAAAAATTATCATCAAATATTTTTAGGAGGGCTTATATTTTTATTGAAAAATCCACCTACGCCGTCTTTCAATGCCGGCAGTTGGACCACCCAAAACGAAAGAAACTCTTCAAGAAGCTAATCTAAAATTTTATACATTTTTTTTCTTCTTGCTGGATTAAAAATTAGACAGCGCAATTTTCTCCAAAAAAATAACATTAACGAACCTTGTGCCGCAAATAAAAGAAGTTTCAAATAAAAACGAACCCAACTGCATTGCTTAGTAGTAAATGATCGTGGTATCGCAATCCGGCTATGCTGCGTTTTACAATTGTTGATTATTACTGGTACCTAGTAGTGATTATAATAACGCGCAAAAAATACATTCATTGAATTGTTATGAAATGGAAATAAATTTCAACTTATTTCATCGTAAGCGAATGATTCCGATCGCATTTTCAGCACTCGCTGCTGTAGAAATGAATATCCGCCATGTTTGACCTGAGACGGTGTTCTTTGACCTGACAGGTCAAATCGATAATTAACAAATGAAAACGATGAATGATTCCAACATGATCAAAATACCATAGCTCATTTAAATATGTTAATGTTATTGAACGCAGTACGTGCGGAAGAGATTTGCCGATGTTGTTGTACGATCTTTTGGCTTGGATTTTGATGGGAAAGCGGCATGATTTGTTTTTAAATATAAAAAATAGTTGTTTTCAAAAGATAAACTGAGCATTTGAAGAATAATTTAACATTGTTTACAGCGATAACAGCTCATTGTCGAAACGATAATACTCTTGTTGAGGCATCAATGACTACAGCGAAACTTTTAAGCACCAGAAAAGATTAGAGTAACACCTCAAAAAAACTGCCGAAAAATCGCCCTGGGTGGTTACCGTAAAATCTGTATTAGAAGCCGCATCTCTAATAGAAGTCGCACCCAAACTTTTTGAATAATTGAGAATCAAAAATTCATTATTTCTCATAAGTGTAGATGCTCTAATAGAAGCCGTATCCTCTCTGTTGCATTCTACCATTTTAATAGAAGTCGCGGCTTCTAATACAGATTTTACAGTATTTGGTCCCATCTTATTTTTTTAAAACCCAGAACTGCTGTTTAATGACCCTGGGCGAATTTATGGCAGAATCCGGTATATCTTGAAAATTTGACAGTCACACCAACTTGAACTTGGTGGATATTTTATAGTGATTCCATAGTTTGAAGATGATCAGATAATTAATTTTTGTTGTTGATTAATGTAACTACCGAGTACAAAAAGAAGACGTATTTTAAGTTGCAATGTCATTAATATCTTCAAACATGTGAGACATCCATATCAATCTCACATAACACACTGGTGATAATCTGACCCTGATATCAATTAAATAAATGCTGGGTTATGTAATAATACTTGAATAATAACATTTTGTTACTTTAATACTACATGTACTAAATTAATCTCAAGGTCCCTTATTGACATTGCATGAAGTTCCAAAATATTACATTAATCTAAGCAAAATTTTGATGGGAAAGAATACAGGCCAGAATTTTTGGCAAAAAAAATACATAAATATCCAATATAGAGTTTGAACTTGATCTGCCCAGGCATGTTGAAAAATCATTACTTAAAAAAAAAAGTCCACTGGTTGGCCATTTTGAACCCAAAAAATAAATAGAAGTGCATCATGGTCCCATTATGTTCAATTTATGTATCAAGTTTGAACAGGTAGATATAACTTTGACATGACTTTTTTGCATGAATTGAGATGATTGGAAGACTTCTTTTGTTTTGAGTTCCTTGTATGCCTAGAAACATAGCAACGTTGATATTTTGGTGAATATAGAACATGATCTGTTCCAATAAAGGATTTTGATATGCCAATCGAACAATTTTAACAATTCAGTAATGGGACATCTCCTGTATAAATAATCCTCTACTCTCCAAAATGGACTTAACTTCTTTGATTGTATCAATAATGTTCACGTTGACGTACGTAAAAACCTACTCGAATTTGACAATATTCACTCTCACTCTCAGACCATTAAACAAATACATGGAAATACCAGTTATATCACTCATGAAGACTGATGATTCTAATTCTGGCCAGGATATATGTATTTAGTGTTCATTTCTATGCAATTGCGATTCTTATTTTCTAGGTGTAAAATAATAACGCTGGTGTGGACGGCGACATATTGTTTTGGTTCTGACGTTTTCTTTGTCGCATTTTGTATATACCAGCCAGACACTGATAAGTTAGTAAACAGTCTGGGGCATAGTCAACATTAAATTCAAACAATCAGATATTTATGCTGGAGAACACCTTATACAAGTACTGGAAACTGTACACAGCATAGTCATACCAGTAAATAAAAGATACTATAGACCCTATAGTACACGTATACATGAAAATGTAACTACAAAATATATTTTTTTCAAAACCTGTAACCCCTAAGGACAAGTTGACAATCCCTAATATTGCTAAACTGCCAGCTGTGAGTTTTAATTCTCATTCATTAGGATTTCCGAATGGGTCATATTTAGTAACTCCTGTCAGAACAACTTCACAAATCATAAGGACAGCTCTTAAGAATGATATTCCGTCCCTGATTAACACCAGTTGTTAATGGCTTATAAAATTCTCAATTCTCAACTCTGATGGAAGTACCAGTTACTGCGACACAAAGCCCTAGTCACTGGGAAGGTTATCACTACGAAAGACACACACAACGAAAGCCACGTATCACAAAGCTACTAGTTGTCTAACAAAATTTGTAACTTGATAACTGTCTTCACTTTCTAAAAGTACATGTACCAAGCTAGAGTCAAACATGTACTACAAATGTATATATACATTTGTGTAAATCATTTTATGTTTTCATGAAATATCCTGCATAGAACTGGTGAATAATTTGTTGACAATTGCTTGTTGTAGTAATGCCACGCAAAATTAATTTAGAACTGGAACCAGAATTTATTATAGATTATAGTAGTATAGCGCCCTCTATGACTAACCATTATGAGGATATATGAATTATCCTTTTTTTATATCAATCAGGGTTTGCGCTAGTGTCTCGGCAAGACGAGTCCCACTTACAAAATTTTAAGAAATAAAAATGTTATCCTGCATAACCTCATTAGAGATTGGACCCCAGCTTGCCTGAAAAACTGGGTCCCTCTTCAATAATTGGAATCAGGGAAGCAAAATATGGGGGTTAACGCAATTCCTGATCATTATTGAATCCATTTGAAGTCTAGTGTTACAGATTGTACAGTAACAAATGAATAAACATGTGTTGTCTCAATCATTTGCTGATTAATTGGATTTGGCAGGGAAATTTCTTGTTTATAATTCAATTGTTGATAAACTATGAATCAATGAAAAAAACATTATATTTTTCAAAATTTAAATACCAACACTCAACATCATTACAAAAAATCCAAACAAGACGATTGTATTGGCTTAGGCACTACCATCTCCATTTTTAAATTTAAAGAGCTCACACATACCGATAAATCAGAGCTGCACACCCTCATTGCCAATTTCCAGTTTAGGCATCAAAAGATACAGGGTGAAATGAAAATCCAGGCTTGGTCAGTGTACAGTTTTGGCTTTTTTTTTTATTTATTTTCTTTTAAATATGTCTTTACTTTATACTTTATTTTATTTGAATTTATTTGCTGGTAATTTATTTTTTTGGTAACCAAAATTAAAAAAAAATTGTATGGAACGCTATTGTTATAATAAGATCTTTGTTTGTGCTTTTTTACATTTATTTATTTATTAAGTCTATGTTTCATATTCTTTTATTTTATTCTATGTCCATTTACTTGCTAGTAGTTTTTTTGATAACTGAAACAAAAATAATACCAGCAAGTAAATTATAATAAAATGAAACATATGAAAAATTGTAATCAACAACAAATTTAAAAAGAAATGAAAAAAACAAAAAACAAACAAACTAGAATCTTATTTTACTATAGATTAATATACAGTAATGTTACTTACAGTGTTTCTTCATCTGGTGCCTTGACAACCACTTTAGGTTGGCCGCTGTATTCCCAATTCTTTAACATTTCAGGGTTAGTCCGACCCAATTTTTTGTACGCAGATACAGCTGCATGACTACACTATAAACAAAAGCAAAGAAATTGTTAGCAATTCATAGTGTCAATGATCAATGTTGAATATTAACATTGCACTGCACAGACAAATTAAGAGTCTCCAGCAAATGCTTTAAAAATTTGTAATCAATATAGGGCTAGTGTGGTCTAACCTTTTCACCAGTTCCCTCTTTTCATCACAAATTCACTAAATAGGTAGTTTGGTTTATAGTCGGCACTTTCCTTCAGATGATTGGAACAAAAATAGCCAAATTTGAAAATTGACTCAAATTTAGTCAGTTGGCTCCAAAATTAGGGTTCATTGCCAGGAATATTGTGAATATAAAAAAAAGTGTAGACAAATATGCAAGAAAATGTCTTGTGGTGAAAGGGTTAACAAGAAAGCAAACAATATCTTCTTAGCTTCCACTGACAAAGCTAATATGGATTTTTTTACCTGAGCTGCTACTTTTCCTTTACCCATTTTTAGATCATTTCTTACAACTATTATCAACTTGCAGTCTCCTGTATCACCCATCACACTAACCTGAAATAAATAAACATTTGTGTAAACAAATATTTATAAAATGATGTGATATGCAATGAACATTTCATGCAAATTGAATAAGATATGCTAATTGCTAGGTGATCACAAAATTGCAACATTTCAAATACAAATACAACATTTCTAACAATTTGAATGTTAATGTTGCAAGTTTGTGAAAAAATGCATTCATGTTCATCTCAGATTTTTGGTAGTGTTCTGTAAAACATGAAAAGCATGTAAAATGACCAATTTGCATTTTTAAGGCTGCAATAAATCCCACTCATTTCTGTTTATGCAATCAAACATTTCCAAGTACCCACTGCACTGTGTGACGCTATGTTTTGATTGACGTGAGCAAAAAGGGTTCGTTTTAAATGCTCACAAAATGCAAGAGTTCGCTTCTGGTGAGATTAACATCACATATACCTTAGATGGTTATGAAAGTTGTATACCCTTAACTTATAAATTCTTGGTGTATTTTAGTTATTATAGTCAAAGCCTTGTCAACAAAAGATGAATACATTAGTTGTGAAAATGGCACAGCAAGGGACTACCATGAATACAAGACTCTCTTCAACTTTTTGTTTAATCTTCCAAATACTAGAAAATCATCACATTACTACAACCAATATGACAAACCTATTGCTTTGATCTTATATATTTATAAATATTTATAAATTTCATACTGAAATGAGATGTTTCTATTGGCTGATTAAGTAACATATTTTTGAATGATTGGCTGGAACTGCAGTTGAAATTTACAAATATTTATAAAAATGATGCACGTGTCCATGGGGAATATGTGACATGTGAGTAAAATGAATGATAAACACAAATTTGAAATCTACTCTGCAGAATAATATGAAAGTATATAGGATATCACTGTCCAATATACATGTAGCTATTTTTGCCCCCCCCCCTAAAGTGTACATTCATACGGACTCACGTCTGCATTCGCACTGTTGACTGCGGCAGTGACTGCAGACCGGCTGAAAAATTTACCGCGAAGCAGCCACCCAATAACCAGGCCACAGCCGACTCCAGCAAAAAATCCAGTAGACGGAAACTCCATGCTTTCAAATATAAAGCATGCACATAATCTGCCGGCTGCTTTGGCCCGTTAGTGCAACTATTGCAGACACAAATTCGACAAATATAAATTGCAGTTTTGAAACAATTTAACAAAAGTTAATAATATTCATTATTTAAAATCATTGATTATTTTATATTTAATCAGTATAGATTATTTTATGTTAATTAATATTAACAATCAGCATATATCAAGTATATTTTGTTAACGAGGACATAGTCTACAAATTATGCATTGAAAATCAACTAAAGCTGTGGTTGTGATACAGTTGTGAAGAAAACGTTCTGTGATTAATTTCCAAATTAACTGGATTTGATCTCATTAAGCGGCTATCATCGTCATAAAACATACATCAGAAAAACATGTCTCTCTTAGAGCAAGTAAAGTTACTCCATGACGCTGGACTTCATTCAAACGTCAAACTAGTGGTACGTAATAATTCTGCTGTGTAATGTGTCAGTCTGTCAGAATCGGTCAGGGACTGAACTACTGGATGTTATAAGTGCACAAAGCTTGAACTTTCTATGTCGTGTGTTTGTTTGTTTTGTTATTGTTTTTTCGTCATTTTCATTTGTTTTTAAAGGCGCAGTCATGACAATTTTGATTTTAGAATAACAATTTCTTTTACTGACAGTACATTTTTAGACGGTATTTTTAAAGATGATTTCTCGACTGAGTGACATCGAGGTATAAACAACGAAACGTTAGTGATGACATTTTCAATTAAATCATGTTAATGTCGGACCTTAAATTTTAACACCCCCCTAATCATGTTGTCTATTCATATTCTAAGATTTGAATGCAAAATGTTTTTGCACAGTAAAGTAAATTTGAATATAAATTTAAATATGTTTGCACTAATGAGTTTCATCATCCTTTCCTGTTAAAATAATAGAATTCAAAACACTTTAAATACATGGTTAGGTTGAAAAGTGTGACGTCAGCATATGCAATTGTTCCTGGCTATGTCAACTATTTAAGAGTAAAAACAAGTTCAACCTGATTAACGTCACTGGCATTGGCTATAAAGTTGATCTAGCTGACTACCACCCTCTTTAAATATATCAGTCTACCATATCAAAACCAAATTCAGATTGAGGGAATGATTAACAGTTGAACATACAACATAAAAAACAATATGCTTATTCGCTAGAGAATATAAAATAATCTAATTTTTTTAAAAGATTATGATTAAGTATTTAAAAAAGCAGCCTGTATCATAGTGTCGGTCAATGCAATCCTATATTGCCTGGGTGCAGACTTTGGCAGAATTCTCATGATAACCTTATTGATATATGTATCTTGTTTAGCTTGTCAACTGTGATGTGATAAAATACCAAGAAGCACAGATTTGATTAGGTTTTAGTTTAAATCCAATTATATTATTTACCTAATTTGCATGATAACTAGCTAATTTTTAGCTGTTCGATGAATGTTCTACTGATATTTAAAGAACCACTCATTGGATTTTGATGAAACTTGGTACATAGATGCTCTGGCACAATGCACATACCTGATTAGTTTCTAGTAAATATCCATGCATACAGTACTCATTACGCCCAACCTCCTGTTCGCTTCCGAATTCCGATCGCTTTTTTTTCGCTCGCTTTGTTCAATTCGACCGGACAATTTCCGTTTTTTTTTCGATTGCCCAAATTCGGAAGTATTTGCTCACGCGCTCGCTCGCTTGCCTGACAGCGCAACCGCCCACATTTACAGTTCATTACCTATTGTTTCATGTACAAGTGTATCATTTTTGTTTTTATAATGTTAAAAGTAGAATAAATACAATCAGAAATTTATAGAAAGATCGTTGAAAAAATACTGTGGATCACACTGCCATATAAAATTGGTAATAATACATACACGTAGAAATAATGTCCACCATAAACAAGATCTAACCAAACGTGAAATCAAATACGACACTGACACAGACACAATTAATATGAAATAAAACTATCTATTTTTGGTGGAGAACGAAAAATGTTTACTGTAGAGTACGGTATTCGTCGAGTAACAGTGTGTAGAATGACGGTTGCCTTGCCTTGCCTTGCACGCATAGTTTGGGTTTAACACGGATCAAGTTGTAGTTATGTAAACCCATGGCACCTATAACAATATTGAAGAATATCTGCAGGAATAGTAAGACTGAAAAAAAAACGACCAATCGATTGTTATAGAATGACCGACTGTACAATTTGTCAAACAAATACAATAATTGCAAATGTAATGTCGGCCGGTGCCCATCTTACTTGTCCGAAGTTATCAAAGCCGACATCAATGGAGATCGCGTATTTTAACTAGGTGGCTGGCAAGTGGACTAACACATTACATAAACTTGTTGAATTACAATTATGGTTTTTATTTTTGCGCCCCATGTCTCGTTATAAAATGAAGGATTTAAATTTTGCAGGGTATTCTGTTTTGCGAACTCTGGGCGAAATACTTCCATGAGCTGTACGTAGTTCACTTACAGCCAAAACAAAGTCAGCTTGTACATTAAGTTTTGAGACGCGACAAAACAAACGCTGCCAGTGATAGATTTCGTGAATAAAAGAACAAAATAAACGCAATCAAAGGTGCCGACTACTTGCGTTGGAAATAAATAGAACACGTTGCTAAGAGGAATTGCACCTGCATCTTGACGACGTTTCGGAAAAATTGAAAGATAAAAAGGAATCAGTGTCGGGGAACCATTGACAATGTTTGCATAAAAAATCCCACGCGAAAGTTTGTGTTTTTTTCGCGTATCTCGGTTCCAAACACTATAATACCTGAATCCCGAATAATTCATAAATATGAATCGGTAAGGGTCAATTTCCTGCAATCCTTCAAGATAACCTTGAGTGGAGATTGAATTTGCCTCCGAAAATCTTTCTAATGATGACCAGGAAGATTGCCATGATTGAGTGCCACAATTTCTGTTTTAAGATTTATTCGGTATAATAATACAAATGTTCATCCCAACAGAGGTGGACATACAGTTTCAGCGACCCGAAGAGCTCATTGTCAACCGAGGCGAAGCACTACGATAAAGACTTTTCGTTCCCAATAAATAATAATAATAAAAAAGACTTCCCGTTCCCGACATTATGAAATTCTTTCGTCTGATTAGAAATTTATATTAAGAACAATTTATAACGAACTGTATTCCATATGTACCCATAAATTATTTTCATGATTACTAATTACACACGAATATTACAGAAAAAAATAATTTGCTATATTATCTATATTTGTGCCCTTTATTTGTCTTGAATTGTGACTGAAAGGAGCTGGATGAAATTACAAACTATGTAGTGTGTTCGACAACTCATGTATGAACAATAACTTGATTTTACTTGGTAAAAATATTGTATTTTTCTACATAAAAACAAAAGAATTTCACAATGTCGAAAACGAAAAGTCTTTAATATTACCATAGTGTTGTTGGTATTAGTTGAAAGTGAAACATCCATGTGAACCTGCTCATATGAGGTCGAAGGAGTCTCTGTTTTCAACAGCCGTATACATCTAACTGCGTCATCGCTAAGTTTTCTTGGTGGACCACGAGCTCTGTTCCTTGTTTGCATGTTATCATGTTCACACAATCGCAGACATTATTTGTAAGGGTGCTCTTTGAAATGGCACATTTTCTCAATGTTTTAGCGAGTACTCCGTGTGTATATATGGCTTGTGTATATATGGCATAATTTTCCTCGAGTTCACTCATCGCTTTCCCGCATGCATTTCTCGTTCTTTTTTGCACTCTAATATGTTGTTGTTTTTGTCTTTCTAAATATCAAGTTTATTTTTGATTGAAATTCAATGAGATCGTTTGAATTTTGAATTTGATGACGATTCGAATTTATCCACTTTTACAGTGATCAATATTGCGTTTGAGTTGAGTTACTAGTAATTACAAGCCTGATTTACATTTTTCTTGCAGTGTTTTTCGTCAATGTATTAAATATAAGTGCTTTGGGAAATAGCATGATTATATTGCGTAAGTGAAAGAGTCTGATGAGTTTGCCAGTGTGTCACAACACGTTTTATTAATTTCCAACACGCGTGGTCGGCTCCTCTGATTGCGTTCATTTTGTATTTGTATTTTCGAAATGTATCACTGGCTGCGTTTGTTTTGTTTTTAGCTCCGCTGTCGACTTTGTCGAGCGGAGCTTATTATATGAGTGATTGTCCGTTGTCGTCCGTGTCAATGTTTTACTTTTTCGACTTCTTCTTGAAAACTACAAGCCTGAATGCTTTGATACTTGGTGTATATGTAGCTTGGGTAGACCTCTCTCAGATTTGTTCATTTCATGATGATATCTTTAATTCTCTAATTTTGGTGAATATTTTTGTCATTTTTGGTAAAAAGTGATATTTTCGACTTCTTGTTGAAAACCGCAAGTCCAATTGCTTTGATATTACATATATAGGTACTACATGTGGACCTCTCTCAGATTTGTTCATTTCATGATGATATCTTTAATTCTCTAATTTTGATGAATATTTTTGTAATTTTTGGTAAAAAGTGATATTTTCGACTTCTTGTTGAAAACCGCAAGTCCAATTGCTTTGATATTACATATATAGGTACTACATGTGGACCTCTCTCAGATTTGTTCATTTTCTAATGATATCTTCTGTTCTTTAATTGCCATGTGCATTGCTAACAGCGGAGCTATCTCAGCCGACAGGCTGCTTGTTTGTTTTCCTTTCTTTCATTTTTTGTCCGGCTGCTGCCAATCCAATAATTCGTCGCCGCAGGTACTCAGACAAGCGATTAATTGCCACAGTCATTATACTAGTAGTCCAATGGATTTGCAGAAATTCAGCTATGCGATGATTATATGCGCAGTTTTGTTTTGCATACCCAGACACGAGCAAAAGTTAACCCGATAGATTTTCGGAACTACAGCATTTGTATTACTTATGCAAATTGAGTAAGGGTCATAGTGTGAGTTGCGTTTGCAAGCGAGTGAGCGAGCCAAAAAAAAGTGGTCGGTTTCCGGTCGGAAAGCAGCGAGCTGTCGGAAATTAAGCGATAAGCGATAAAAAATGATAAAAGTGAGAGGTTGGGCGGAATGAGTACTGTATTATTTACTTAATTTGCGTAATGTTTAGTCAATTTTTGGTACTAATCATCACATTGCAATGAAACTTTGTACATACATTGGACAATGCACAGACCTTTTAGTTGTGGTTTAATCTGTGCATATGCGTAATAATTACCCCCTTTTTTTTAAAAACCAATTATTTGCATCTTTGATATCTCAAAAGAATCACATTTAAATTTAACTTGTGGTAGAGGTGCTTTTGAATAAATTAGACTGAAAACCACAGATGTAAAATCAAATGTATTTTCTGTAAGCATTATAAACTTCAATAGTGTGGATCACATTGATTTCATGTTGTACTGGTACATCTCAAATAGCAGACAAATATTAGTTGCCAAGCTTCTGGTTCAAAAGGGAAGAGTTCTTTCTAAGCTTTCTTTGATTCATTTTGTAGGTTAATTTGGTTCTTTCTGCAAGTGAACACAATCAAGATCTCCTAACCATGGCCCAGAAATATCAGTTACAAGTATGGTATGGTGATGCTTTATTTGAAGAAGAAGAGTATAGGAAGGCAGAGGTAAGCTATACATGTCATTGTTAGGTTGGATCACAAACAGAGCCATTCAAGAAATGAGTCTACATTTGTGCTTTGTTTTAAATATTTCATTATATAGCACAATTTTGCTTAGTGTGTTTCCATTGAGATTATAGTTTTTCCAATAAACTTGTCCTTAATATGGATGAAGGGAAAAGTATATGAGATAAAAATATGTCTGTCTCATAATTTTCATCCTTGTTAAGTTTTTTCTTGAACCTGAAAAGTTGTTATCTGACTGGTTTCATATTTAGAAATGTTGTTAACCAGTACAACCTTTGTCATCTACCATCTTTTCAGATCAGGCTACCTTCTTAGTAGTCAAATATATCTTGTGAAACTGAAAGCCTAAAATGATATTTGCATCAGTTATAACATATGCAGTGTTTGCAATACACCACATGATACTGGTAACATGTTTTCATTTACTTATATTAATATGTGGTATACATTGTATATTCTACACAGACAGTGTACAGAAGAGCACTTCAAATGAAGAAAGTTTTAACTAAAAGTAAGATTCGTGGAGGACCAGACCTGGATTTACCACAGGTTGTTGATGTGAAGTATAGAATTCATCAATGTCATTGCCATTTAAAGGAGTTCCCGGAAGCAGTTGCTGTGGTATGTAGTATGTTATTGTCTTCTAAGGTGTGGTGGTGATGAATAATATCAATAGCTGTGACCATCCAATAGATACCATTGATACTATTATCTTTTGATTCCTCATTTTACTAGCAATCAAAATCAAGCCAGCCATCTCATCCCTAGAATGAATTCATGGATTTCAATCTCATCTGTTTACATTATCCTAATATTTCAGCTTGAAACTATTCTATGTAAACAAAGAACACCAAAGGTGAATATGGCTTTAGCAAAACTCTACCAGAAAGTGGGACTTGAGAGATCTGCTATTACTCTCTTCAGGGAAGTGTTAAAGTGAGTAATTTCAAACATTCAACATAAGGTCGTTCATGGGCATTCAACTTAAATTGGAACAAAAAAATAATATTTTGTTTCGAAAGTGTTATATAGATGTTGAAACAAATTAATAATTTTTTGGGGTTAGAATAAAACATGCAAAAATGAACCTTTCTGTAATATTTTTATAGGAATCATGAAAAAGCATTATTTAATGAAGAAATACATAGTATTCTTAAGAAGTTTTCAACAAAAAATGTACCCATCTCATTATGACAAGAACCTACATACTCTACTTGCACTTCTGCAAATGGTGATGGTTTTCATTTGAATAATCAATATAATTTGTGTATTTTGTAGGGAATGTCCCATTGCATTAGAAGCAGTGCTGT